ACCTCGGACGAGTCTAGTCTCGCGACTAGAACGTTGGTCACGAACACATCTAGGCGACACCTCGAGCATGTCTAGTCTCGCGGCTAGAACGTCGATCATGAGCACGTTTAGGCGACACCTCGGACGAGTCTAATCTCGCGACTAGAACGTCGATCATGAGCACGTTTAGGCGACACCTCGGACGAGTCTAGTCTCGCGACTAGAACGTTGGTCACGAACACATCTAGGCGACACCTCGAGCATGTCTAGTCTCGCGGCTAGAACGTCGATCATGAGCACGTTTAGGCGACACCTCGGACGAGTCTAGTCTCGCGACTAGAACGTCGATCATGAGCACGTTTAGGCGACACCTCGGACGAGTCTAGTCTCGCGACTAGAACGTCGGTCACGAACACATCTAGGCGACACCTCGAGCATGTCTAGTCTTGCGGCTAGAACGTCGATCATGAGCACGTTTAGGCGACACCTCGGACGAGTCTAGTCGCGCGACTAGAATGTCGGTCACGAACACATCTAGGCGACACCTCGAGCATGTCTGTCTCGCGGCTAGAACGTTGATCATGAGCATGTTTAGGCGATGCCTCGGACGTGTCTAGTCTCGCGACTAGGATGTCTTCTATTGTCGCGTAAATGCGTCAGTTTGGTCCCGTCTAGTAGCACGACTGAATTGATGCCTGTGAGAGCGGGTTTAGGCGATCACCTTGAGCGCATCTAGTCTCGCGACTAGGATGTCTTCTATTGTCGCGTAAAGGCGATGGGTTAGAGCGCGTTTAGCGGTCACCATGAGCGGATCTAGTAGTGCGGCTAAGACGTCGTCTGCTGGAGCGCGTTTAGCGGTCACCTTGAACGGATCTAGTAGCGCGGCTAAGATGTCGTCTGCTGGAGCGCGTTTAGCGGTCACCTTGAGCGAATCTAGTAACTCGACTTGATCTTTACTTGATCTGGTTGACCGACTGAGATACGCGTTTAGCAGGTACCATGAGCGAATCTAGTAGCTCGACTTGAACGTTGCCTAATCTAGTCGACCGGTTAAAATGTGCGTTTAGCAGGCATCCTTTTATCTTCTCATAACCGCTTCCCGGTTTAGTTTCAGCCGCTTCTCGAATTAGCTCCGGTTGAATTTCGGTTCGTCTCAAAGGATGTACTTGGTCGGTTTATTGGAGGCAGTGAACCAGACACATTCATGCATGTGACGATTTAGACAAGTTTACTTTGAACTTATGCCTAGTAAAAGGCGAGTTTGCTTTAAATTCGTGCTTAGCGTAAGACGAAGTTACTAGACTCATGCTGAGACAAAGGCGAGTTTACTGAGAACTCGTGCCTAGTAGAAGGAGAGTTTCTGTAAACTCATGCCTAGTCAAAGAAAAGTTTTTGTAAACTCGACTAACAATAAGCGAATCAACCGCAAACTCTGCCTAATAAAAAGCAAGTTCAATTTAAACTTGTACCTAAAATACACGTTTACCGAGCTATTGTCGACCCGAAGTTTTGTGTTGGGATCGTGCCGGCTTTGACAGCAAATTGATCAATGAGAAAAAACGCATGCGGGATTCGCGCAGCCAGGAGGTCACTCGCGAGAGGGTGCGTGTTGAGGCGGCAATGACCAACAAGCTTAGCCACTGCATCGATCGCGTCCGGGCTTATCTTAAGCAGCGTAGTCTCTCTCACGGGAGCAGAGTTTGCTTGAGCAGGCTTCCGAGACGAGGAAATGTCTCGAGATGATCAAGGAGGAGAAGTCTTTCCCCGCTTGTTCTCCCTTCTAGGTTCGTGAATGAAGAGTTCGTGCCTACGCCTGACCCGTATGGGTCAAACGATGATCTAGTTAGGTCGGAAACGGCCTCGCAGCTCTGGACGCCCTGCGATGTCCTCGGGGCGAGTCGACTGGTAAGTCGTGTGAGAATCCAGTCGACGCGTCTCCGTCTTGTAAGGAGTCAGGTCCAAACCTTGGTGAAGAGACTGTTGATAAGAATGATATCACGGTTCGTGAAGGTCGTCTGAAGGACGTTGACTCAGCGATGTCTGTCGAGGTTTCTGATTCTTCTTCCGAGTGAGGAGGAGAATGACAGGGTAGAAGAGTCTCCATCCCCTCTCCTTGTTAGGACGGGAGAGCCGTTAAAGGAGCAAGAGGAGTCGGACCTTGCTGGGAAGCTACCCTCGCCGATACCGATTGAGCAGGGGAAGTAATCTGAGGAAGACGAGGGAGAGAAGCAGGCGCTTCCGGCTGATTCTCCGGAGAGTCTTATCACCATGAGGGGTGGTGAAGCCGCGAAGGACTCGGAGCCTGATTTGCCTGCTGCTGCCGTCA